AATGTAAGGTGTTATAAACCCTTCCCACACTCTTGCAATAATCTAAACACCGTTTCTAAACTGTAAACGCTCTAAAACAGCACAGAACATAATTTCAGCTCTCTGCTTCTTCTGCTCTTGTCACCTGCAAGCTCTCTTGGCCACGCCCACTTCTCCGTTCTGCACACCGAACAGCTGATCAGCTGCAGCAGGTCGTTTATCCTGCAGCAGAAGCTTTTTCTGCAGCTCTGGGCTGCAGAAATGTGCAGCAGGTGTTAAATATTTTAAATAATTAATTTTAAATAAAAATTCCATGCCGATCGTGCAGCTCATCTATCAGTCAGCCAATTGTGCGTCACGTCCAATCTTATTTTGAAAAACTGCGATTGAGCAAGTTTGCGATAAACGACCCGTGAAGTAGCGAGGGACTACTGTGCATCTAAACACACTAAAATGGAAGTCAGTACCTCGTTTACTTTTCATGTCATCATGCTCACAATATGTACATACGGATAGACCGAGGGCATTTCCAATTCCCCCGTTCGCTCTGCGATGGTGGACAACAAAAATGAGGGATCAATTTTTATTTTAATATTGTAATAATCCAAAAGGTTGGTAGACAAAGGTTAGCAGAAGCTTGTATCAGCAGGATACAGGCCTCTGTCCTGATCCAAGAGTTCAATGTCTTGCCCCAGGACAATAGAAACCTGAACTTGTCTAGCCACGGATATCACACACACTGGATCCTCCTAAGAGAGCGACACACTTACCAATAAGGTGTTCCGATGAAGGACTTTCTTTTGGCAATCGTGGCTGTTATTTTGGCTGCGACTCCAAAGTCAGCTGAAACAGGGAGTGACAGACGCACGTCAGACGAAGCGGATTCAGTTTCTGTTCAAATAGGAGTGTTTGGACGGTACAGAGCAGCTCACCTAACTTCACATCTCCGTTGTCTGTTAGAAGTATGTTGGCACCCTGTTAACAAGTCCCACAAACGTGTTAAAGCTTAAGAAACTCAGCTAATGATTCGCACAATTCACAAAGTACATTTGCATGCTCATTTCTCTCATTAGCACAAAAGATAAAACAAGCGCTTCGTATTAATTTCTATCTATTCTGACTTTCAATAATTCACTGCAGGTTTTAGAGTGTTTATGTTGGTTGTGACGGACAGTTTCTGTGGTAGCATCCTATGGGTGAGAGTACAGGAAACAGGAAACCCTTACTGCGTCGAGCTGAGAAAAGATAATAGACCCAACCCTGACCTTTATGATAACACATCAGAGTGAGGCTCCAGACTTTGCATTCATCAGACGTGAACAGCTGAAGTTAAAATCTGTCATTCACTGACCACTCGTTTTTTTAAAAAAGCTCAACTTCCGCTGAGCTCTCTCTGAAACCAGTTTACACCTTTGCTGCGTTGAAGCCTAAAGATCTGCAATCGCAGATGTGCTTTCAGTTTTGAACTGTTACACGTTTTCTCACAAGTTTATGAAATTTAATAACGTAGATGCATCCATCCATTAGTTTTACCAGCTTCTTCTTTTTCAGGTTATGGGGTCACTGGTGCCCACATCCAGCCATCACTGTGTGAGAGGCGAGGGACACCCTGGACATGTCTCCAGTCCATCACAGGGACATGTAGAGACAAACAACTACTCACTCTCTCTTTCACCTAGAGACAGTTTAGAGTTACTAGTCAGACTAACATGCATGTTTTAGGTCTGTGGGAGGAAACAGGAGTACCCGCAGAAAGTCCACACAGCACGGAGAGAACATGCTAACTCAACCCAGAAGGGCCCCCGAACCGAGATTTGAACCAACAACCTTCTCACAGAGAGGCGGCAGCTCTATCAACTGAGCCACCGTGCCACCCTAATAATAACTTGTATATTTCAGCCTTAATCGAACTGCTTGTATCTTTGCTAAAGATGAATAATTAACGCTAAAATAAAAATCTTAAGCCATCATACTTTGATGTCTCGGTGCATCTTGCCCCTGCCATGCAGATATCCCAAACCCTGTAAGATAAATGAAAATAATCTGCTCAGCCAAGTGCACAAACAGTTAACACTAATTAAAACAATTATTACATAATAGCACAGTTACCTGTAAAGTTTCTCTGCTGACATAAGCAATCTGAAGCTCTGACAGAGGTCCCGTCACTGTTGGAGCAGAATATGATTCAGTGTTTGCTCGTTTCAATGAAAAACGTCTGAGCAGTTATGGAGAGGAGAACAACGCACCATGATAAATATCCTGCAGAGATCCTCCCCCACAGTACTCCATGCAGATCCACAGCTTCTCTCGACTGGAGAAACAAAAACAAATGACAAACACTAAACCTTTAGCACCTGAACGGCAGCTAAAGGCCATAAAACACAAATTAAAAGAAAAAAAACTTATCTAAAATAAGATAATGGGTCTGTAAAAAAGAGAAAGGCTGGCTAACAGTATCAGATGGCTAGCTAAAAGCTAAATGTTAGAAAAAAATCTAAAAGTAGCAAAATGCTACCTAAAAACTAAAAGTACCTTAATTCTTGCTGAAAGTAGCTAATGGCTCACTAGAAGCTAAAAGAAACAAAAAACTGGGTAAAATTAAAACCTCTCATTATGTTGTAAAAGCTAAAAGTAGCTGAAAGCTAGATAAAAACTAAAAGCTGTAAAAGGATAGCTAAAATTGAAAAGTTACTAAGAGCTAGTAGAATGAACCTAAAATTACAAAGATTTCTAAAAGCTAAACACAATAGCAAAGAGCAGAAATGTATTTTACAGCTAAATGTAGCAAATTCTATCTAAAACTGCAACAACAACAAAATAGCTAAAATGTAAAAGTTATTACAAGATAGATAAAAGCCAAATGCACCAGAAAGGTAGCTAAAAGTAGCAGAAAAAAGCTGAAAGCTAACAATAGCAAAAAGGTAGCTAAAATTTATTAATAGCAGATTTGTAGCAAAAATGGCTAAAAGTAGCAGAATGCTAGCTATAAGATAAAAGTTGTAAAATGAGCTACAATTTTAAAGTAACCTGAAGCTAGCTAAAGAGCAGAATTTGCAGAAAGGTAGCTTAAAGAAACAAAGGCTTTTACAAGCCAAAAGTGGATAATGGTAATAGCTCAATGTTTAGCTAGCAGAATGCTAGGAAGCTGCAAACGCAAAATGAAAATTTAAAAGCAACTTAAAGATAGCTAAAAGCCAAATACAGCAGAAAGGTAGCTAAAATCTAATAAACAGTACAAGATAAAAACAGGAAGAGAGCCCAAGCTGAACAATGTTTGGAAGGTGTCAATGGCTCTCCACGTATTTCTTGGGGAAACATGTTTGCTGATCAATTTTCATTTTTGAAAACTTTAAACATCACAATAAAAAAACACAAAGGTCATCGCAGACTTCTGAATGAGCAGAATGTTCTGTTAAATGAATGGCTATAAAAGCAACAAGTACAGACATGGATTGTAAAAAGTAAACGTATGGAAAAAAAAAAAAAAGTGTATATATATATATATATATATATATATATATCTCAAGAAAAGGGTGTGGTTCAGTATTTACATGATAAATATGACGTGGCTGTTATCTGTTGTTTTTACTGGTTGAGCTCTTTGTGGCAGGCTGTGCCTTATTAAACAGCTCAGATTCCAGTTCAAACCTGCTGGAACTCTGAGGCAGTTTTATGCAGACCGGATCAAATCAGATCCTCAGAAACAGACCCCCGGTCCTGAAGGACTCAAAATAACAACACCGGATATTTTCAGCTGGTTCTTACCAAAGGTAGCTCCCAAAGTAGGCCACAATATTGTGGTGCATGCACTCCTTCACCATGAAGATTTCTTGCTGAATGATGGAAAAGTCATCTCCTGAAAACATACATATGGACAAAAGGTTGTTTTTTAAATTCTCTTAAACACAATAGAGACACGATTGGAGTACGTGGAAATGTTTATGTTTCAATTCCAAAATCTGAAAATGAACATTCGGCTCAGACTACCAGTGTCAGCACTTCATCAACACGCAGTCATCGAGAGCCAGAATGAGCTCATGACACTTAAAATATTAAACTCTAAAACAAGGGCTGGAGTATGAAGGTAAATAAAACTTGTTTTTTCATCCAGCCTATGTTCAAGTGTGTCCCATCATCCACGGTTCATAAGATCAAATCGAATCTGGTTAAATCTGATCAAAGGTCGAGGCTGAAAGTTAATATTGGAAGGTCGTGATGTTCGGGCTCTCGGGGGCCACGATGTTAAAACCAGGAACGATAACGATGTTACATTATTATTATTTTGTATTCCAGGGTGTGCGTTATTTGTTGGAATTACTTATACTCTTGCACATTTATCAGGTATGAAAGTATGAAAGTTGTGATTCACAGTGAGAGACGTGGACCCATTTTTCTTTATGCATTGCTGCTAACACCAAATTCACAATTTATTCTATCCCACTAACAAACAGAAAATGTTCTGGTTTATTTGAAAAGTTAAATAAGTTCCACTGTAATCAAAACACGAGATTTTCAAATCGTTACATTCTGTTTTAAATTATATTTTATACAACATCCCTCTACCTTTTCTAGAATTGTTGCTGTGTTTTTATCGATAAACGACTGCTGTATTTATAGTTTTAAACAAGAATTGTAAAAATGTGCATTTAGTAATTATTCAGAAATGCACGTTAGATTTCTGGAAATTGTTTCAAGACCCCACATTGTCCTTTTACAACCCACAGTGGGGTCCCAACACTAACTTCAGGAACCACAGATCTTCCTCATCATCCACTCCAAGTTCTGATCTTTTAACTATTCGTCTGTAATCTTGATCTGACAATCAAAGAGTGAGTGAAACTCGTGGTCCAACTCATTAAGTGTTTTTATTCCTCGACATTTAACACAGAGGGATCCGACTTAGCAGTTCATCGTTTCTGATTATGTTTTTACTCCTGTAACTTCATCTTGTTAGTTTTTATTTGATGCTGTGATCTTTTTGTTACGCACTTCGGTAACAGTTCCTGTTTTAAATGTGCCATATAAATAAATCTGCCTTGATTTAATACGTCACCTATTCTCATAAGTATTTTCAGCCTGTCTGGGAGGCTTTCGGTTGCTTCATGTGAATGCCCCAGTTTAAGTCTGGTTGGAATGCCCACGTGTGCCAAACCTTCCAACAATACCGAACACATGCCTCTCCTTTGGTTTGAAATCTTTGTCAAGAGCTTTCCCCCCCCCCCCCCCCCCCCGCCCTTGGGTCAAAATGACCCACGAGGCCTTTAAAACTGAAATTTTAAATTTGTTTTAAAAGACGAGGCCCATGTTGGCAGATGGACCAGGCTGCCGCAGCTAGGTAGTCTATGTGGTTTAGTAAAAATCAAATGTGAAACCCACACTAGTGTTGTACATGAATAAAGTTTTAAAATAATTAAATTAAAATTGAAAGCCCCACACAAACACCAACTTGTGCATGCTTGACCAAAATAAAGGCTTCACCCACTACCGAATCTGGCAGGTCTTCCAAAAACTCCAGCCTGGATTTAGTTTTTTATATTTTATGTTTTACAAGTTCAAGGTTCATTATAGTCATATGCATCACATGTGGTACATGAGGTGGAACAAAACTGCGCACCCAAGGTCCCAGTTACACCCAAAAATAGTGAAGATCTGAGTTATATGTTAAACAATAATAACGTAAAATAATATGATATATTAAGGCTAAAATAGCTTTAAATTTGGACTAGTTTATAGTGGACAAAATCATTAAAGAGTATTTTTCAGCAGGTGTACACGTTGGTCGATACATTACCCTGCAGACCCGTTATCATAAAGTTTGAGGGTTCGTGCTTCACTGCATCTCCACATAAGGAAATAACTGTTGCATATATTTGTAGATATCGCGAATGACACACGGCAAAAAAGCCACAAAAATTAGAGCCATGCTAATTTTAACAGCTCAACGGAGCTTGGCCCAAATAAACCCAACATGTCACCCCACAGCCTTTTTTTTCTTGTTGTGTTGAGGCCTGAGAATGTAGCCACTTCCTCTCCAGCTGAGCGCTTCCCTCTCTGAATGCACACATTCTTGCTCTTCGTGTCAGGTTGCAATTCGTTATGCGAGTGTTATTCTATGTTTAGTCTTGATCAATTTAACACCCAGATCATTTGAGTCACCAGTAAACCAGCAGGACTGGAAAAGCTTGTTTTAATGGAGACAACTCTGCGTGGATAGAGCTGGAAAACCTTTTTCTAAGTGGCTGCTAAAAAATAATAAAAAAGATGTGACAGATATCCTTAGCTGTGTTGAATACATAAATTAAAGTGTACGTGCTTATGTCCAGAAATCAAAACAAAACTGAAAGGCCTCACAAAGAATGAACATCTACCATCACCTTTCAAGCCAGTTTTAATTTATTAGCGCTCAGAGTATAATCTACTACCACATCAAACTGTACCTTAAAATCTAAAAACTGACTGATTTACACCAAATTTATACATTTAATCTGGAAAGGATGCCCTGTGGACACCTCACTAGGGAGGCGTTGACGTAATTGTCCGACTGGGAGGAGACCCCAGGGAAGATCCAGGACACTCTGGAGAGACCATATCTCTCTTTGATGGCCTGGGAACACCTTGGAAGTCCTCCCAGAAGAGGTAGAAGAGGTGGAAAGAGATGTCTGGACCTCCCTGCTCAAGCTGATGCCCCTGAGATGACTCCAGAACCACAGGAAGATAATTAGTGTGCACCAATAAATCAGCTGGCTAATTTATCGGCCCCGATTTCCTTAATTTCAGGAAATCGGCCGATACGTACAGGAGAAACTGATTTTTCAGATTTTTTTAGTTTTAACAAAAATTGTCTGAACTCTTTTTACATTTCAGAGCACTACCTCATGGCCAGTTAAAACAAGTTTGTATTGTTTCTAGGATATTGTTCAAGGGTATGTTTTCAACAAAATAATATTGGAAAACTGAAGGTACACTTTAGAATACCTGACAGTGTCGCTTATAAAACAAAATCGGTATCGGCCAAAATCGGAATCGGCAGGTCAGATTTTTTTAGAAATCGGGGATCGTGATCGGCCAGAAAACTGCAATGGGTGCACCCCTAAAGGTAATGGATGGACTGATTAATGAGTTGATGGATGGGTGGAAGTAGCATGCAGATTTAGAGAAAAAAGAGACCCATCTCAAATATACTGAACACTTAACATGTTTAAGCCACTCGTATCAGGTGACTTCTAGTTAAACCCCCACTGCTCTACATCTGCAGGCTTCAGCTATGTTCCCAACATTGTTGACTTTGTTTATTGACTTCCTGTCTGCGTCACTCCACCTGGTCTAACCTGTCTGACTGCACGGTCCAGCCGAAGACAGTCCATACTGGTACAAGAGGAGGGACGTGTGCTGAGCAGCAGACAGGAAGTTAATGTTTTCTGCAACACGCTTTGGCCGTCTTAGTTTATATCAAAAACTAAAAGGCTTAGCATCCCTTAAAAAAATGCATATCACCCACCTCCATTTATGCCAGAATGGTAAACAAGTCAAGTCAAATTTATTTGTATAGCACATTTAAAACAGGAACTGTCAACAAGGGTCATCTTTTGGTGAGAAACTCAGCTGTAGCCGTTGGAGTCAAACCTGGAAAATCACGTCATGTTCAGTCTCAGCAGATTGTGCAAAATCTTTAAAGATATATTATTGCTGAAAGAATGCGTTGTTAGTGAGCCAACAAGTCAAATTCAGCTCAATACCCATGGAAAAAGGCTAAGCCATTTTTGTGTTTTATAAGGTCAGTTAGCTATGGCAGCCATCTTGAAATGGACTGACTCCAAAGCTAAATCAACTGTAATCAGTTGTAGATGTACATCCAATAATTACTTGCTGGAAGATTCATCAAAACCTGTCCACTGGTTCATGAGTTATTTAAGACGGGAGCAAAAACATTATTGTCATTTACCGTCGGCCAAAAGCAACAAAAATACAGCAAATATGAGTCAAACATTGTTATGTCATTCTGAAATAAACAGATCCGACTCATTCTTACTAGAACTGGTCATTTTAACACCTGAATGCCAAATCAACATTTACAGTGTTTCTTTCCACTACCGTTATCCAAGGAGGGCGCCTCGCTCCGTCAACAGAAGAAGGCGCCCTGCCTACTGGCCCTCCCCCCACTGTCGGCACCAACGTAGCGGTAAGGTAGTGGCGCGCAATAGCAACATAGATGTGCTAGCTAAGACACTCAAGTTCTCTCACGCATCCCCCACCCCCCGGGGGTCAACAAATGTCAGCACTAACGTAGCATTAAGCTAGCTCACCACACAGACGTGTCTCCATCTCCTCCTTCCTACACCCCCACTCCATCCCCCAGTAGCCAAAACCCCAGAAGAGATGAGCGTCCTGTCAAGACAAGTGACCTAGGGGAAAAACTGAATATTTCTTTCAGCTACCGTTTTAATTGACATTTTAGCTTTTGTTTGCAGTTCAAACTGTCCCTTTAACACTTCAATCCTTCTTTTCCCAGTGTTCCCACAGAACACGTCATAGTTAAACTGAGGTTCAGAAGCAAACACCAAACAAAAAGAACGGGTGTAAACTTTGGACATAGAATCGTCCTACTGGTCCTGAATCGAGCCACCATCAGTGCAGACAGTGACACAAGGAACAAAAGACAAAACAGAGAATCCATTCCTTCACAGGTTAGTCATCAGCTGAGTTCAGTCCGCATGCTAGTGGCACAAAGCCTTTTCATAATCCCACTAATCTGGATCACCCTAACTCTGTCACTAGGTCAGCACCAGCAAAGACCCTGAGCTGTCCTCCTCCAGACACACAGACCAGGCAGAAAAATGATGAACCAAACCAAACCTGACCAAAAACATCAACCGTGAAAATAACTTTCACAACATTTGGCACAGCAAAAATACATTTTAGACGATTCAGAAAACATTGTTTAAATAGAACAACTGGGGGTTGGTGGAGATAAGAAATGTGAATGGAAGTGATGAACAACTCTTACCTGGTTCCAGTTTTATAATCTTGACAGCAGCAAGCTCTCCTGTTTGGATGTTTCGAGCCTAAAAGACAAACCAAAAATAATTATGAGCGAAGCCACAAAAGATGAAACTCCTGCTGATATTTCTGCTGTAACTTCGTAGTAATTGAGCAGAAATTAAATTTACTTGTAACAATTTACATATGGAGTCTGGTGTTCGTAGCATTTTTTACTATTGTGAGCAAATGGCAACAGATGATCCACTGTTGTTGGCCCCTCTACAGGATCAGCGTAAAAGATTACAGACCAAATGTCTGCTTTGATCGGGAGATTAATCAATTCAGAAACCACTGCTAAAGCTCTAAATATGATATATGGGAGGACAGAGATGTCAGCCAAACAAATACAAACTTCATCATTTTTAACTTAATAACTAAAAGGCTCAACACAAAGAAGATATACTAGAAAACGTAATTCAAAATATATTCTGAATTGTTAGGACGTGTCCAAATGGTCTACTCAAGTTTTACTGGGATGAGCATTTAGCGTCTGTGGGAGTGTAAAAAATGTTTTTAGCTCAGCAAAGCCTCATCTCGTCCATCAGCCAAATTTAGCCCCGCTGCTTTCGCAAGCTATGCCTCATCAAATATTATCACTAGTTTTTTTCAAATACAGGCTAAAATCTTGTTTAAAATAACTAACACTCCCTGATGGAAAGCTAAGGTCTGCCGCCTTTCATGCCCAAATTTAAGATCTTGCATTTGAAAAACCATGACCTTGTCGCCATCTATGTCAAATTTGAAAAGTAAAGTTCAATCTGTGTAACGGGTAAATCAGCCGTTAACCACAAAATGGTACGGTATGGTCGACTTCCAGCACAAGGAATGTGCAGATCACGTACACATATAAACACGAACCCACAAAAAACAAAAAATGACTCTACAGTCAGCGCCAAAAATGCACTAAATACTAAATAAACCTTCCCAGAAACTGTTGGTTTCTCTGCTGCACTGTGCTCCATCCAAGTAGAAACTAATAAAGATGCAGCCGATACGTTCAGCCAACAGCCATGCAGCATGAAGGGACCCCTTCTTTTATGACCTACACTCATTTTTCCAGCAACTCTTCTGAGAAAAAGATCTTTCTGTTATGAATGAATCTGGTATTGTTCAAAATAAGTGGATTTCCCAGGATTCACACGCTCAAAATATTTCATCAAAAGAGACAAAAGCGGTGCGAGAGTTTGGTTCTCATTGCCGGTAGTAAGTGTGACCCGTTCAGGGCGGGAGTTGAAGTCCAGCAGGGCTGCCCGTTGTCACAGATTCTGGTCAGAACTTTTATGGACAGGATTTCTCGGTGCAGCCAGGGGGTGGAGGGAGTCCGGTTTAGTGGACTCAGGATTCATCTCTGCTCTTTGCAGATGATGTGGTCCTGTTGGCGTCATCGTGCCGTGATCTTCAGCTCTCACTGGAGTGGTTCGCAGCCGAGTGTGAAGCGGCTGGGATGAGAATCAGCACCTCCAGATCCGAGGCCGTGGTCCTCAGTCAGAAAAGAGTGGATTGTTCTCTTCAGGTCGAGGTTCTGCCTCCAGTGGAGGAGTTCAAGTATCTCTGGAGTTTTGTTCATGAGTGAGGGAAGAATGGAGCGTGAGACTGACAGACGGATTTGTGCAGCATATGCAGTATTGTGGACTCTGTGCCGGTCCGCTGTGGTGAAGAGGGAGCTCACCTGTAAGGCGAAGTTCTCTGTTTACCAGTCGGTCTACGTTCCTCCCCTCACCTATGGTCATGAACTCTGGGTAGAGACTGAAAGAATGGGATCGTGGATCCAGGAGGTTGAAATGAGTTTCCTCTGCAGAGCTGGACTCTCCCTCAGAGACAGGCTGAGAAGTTCAGTTATCAGGAGAGACTCCGAGTAGAACCACTGCTCCTCCACATCGAGAGGAGCCAGTTGAGGTGGTTTGGTCATCTGGTAAGGATGATTCCTGTGCACCTCCCTAGGGAGGTGCTTTGGGTATGTCTGACTGAGAGGGGACCCGGGGAAGACCCAGGACACGCTGGAGAGACTACATCTCTCTGTTGGCATGGGAACATCCTGGGAGTCCTCCCAGAAGAGCTGGAAGAGGCTGTGGAAAGAGATGTCTGGAGCTCCCTCAAGAAGCTGCCCCCGAGACTTCAGAACAGGAGGAAGAGAATGAATGAATGAATGGATGGATATATGGATGGAGACGGTTCTTAAAACATCTTTTAAGACAAAAACAAGATTTATGAAGAGATTTAATCTGTTTTAATTTGAAACCTTTTGAAATGTGTTACAAGTAAATGTTGATGAATTTTGTCTGCATTTATGAAATAAGGAAATTAAGGCAAATTGTGTAACACATTTTATTACCAGTAGTCTGAGATTACAGAGACAGTCCAGTGTTCCTGCAAACAGAACCTGTTCTGAACAGGAAAAGATCGGCTCCAACCGTGCACACACTCAAGTTCCCGGCAATAATTTCACGTCTTCTCATTTTGGGTCCACGAGAGCGAGATCGACTCTTCACTCAGTCTTCGTCTCGTCAAATTTTGTTAACTAAAGTTTAACGTTGCTAAACTTGTGACTAGATTTGTTTGATAAAGTCCAGCAGTAGAGAATCTAAGAAAAGCTGATTTAACAAGAACAATGTGTAACTTTAGGAGATAAATCTAGCTCAAGAATCACTCATTGGTTTGTCTGTTAGCAAAATTAACTTTTGGAGTCAATCCAACTCGAGATGACTGCAGCAGTTAGACATTAAACACAAGCACGGCTACAACTGGTGAGATGATAGTTGAGGGTTATCCCCAATGCATAATTTAATTGTGACATCTTACGACTGCATGATTGCACATGACCTCACTTCTAGGGTTTGATTAAAACGGCTACAGGTTAAATTGTCTTTCATGAAAGGCAGTGGAGAATATGCATGCCTTCCATTTGAAGTCTTTGAAAGTGCATTTTAAAACTGAGCACTTGTTTACAACCTGTGGCTCCTTTTGCACTTCCTGAAGAAGCTGTAACCAACTTGAGAACTGAACCAGGAAAGGAGAAGTCCTGCATTTACTGTTCACGAAAAATATGTGTCGGAGAAGACGGCTTTAATAGCTTTTAACGACCTGCGACAGGTGGAATGAAATGCTTGGCATGTAACAGATGTTTGACAAAACAAGATCTGAGAACAGATCAACCGCCACGCTCGACTGAAGGAGAAACTCTTTGAAGTGTGCATGGAAGGTAAAAAAAATGTAATAAACATGATTAGCTGTGTATTTTATTCATCTTTTAAAAACTTGTGCTTCATTTAGGTGTGTGTGACTGAAAAATAATGAATTCAAATAAAGTGAATAGAGATGACTAAAAGGTGCAGAACTTCTCGTTCCTTCTGCGACTTCCAGCTATGACAAGAAGTTTCAACACCACATTTACGGTGTTTCACTACGTCTGGGGCCTTGGGGGAAGAAAAAAGATAAAGATACTATTTTTAACGGTTAAGTTTTATAACTCGCATGATTTATTTACAAAATGTGAGGCTTTTCTCACTGCAGTGTTCTTCTGGGATCTCACATAACCTTTTCAAGGCTTTTTTGTTACAGAATAAACATGAAAGAATTGAATTCAACAAATGATAAAAAAAATATTAGTTTTTATATTAATTCTGTCGAATCTGTTGGTCTAGTTTGCCTGTTTTACCAATCTCACAGCTCTTAATGTTCAACTTTTAGTGAAAACAAAGTCCATAAATTATAATTTTGAAACATTAACCTTACAGTGAAGTTCACAAGTACGAATGTGACTGCAGTGATACAACTCCTACAAGTAACACATCGGCTAAAAGCAGAAACATGCTAACTACAATGGAAATGTGGCCAAAGGCTAGCTAGTAGGTTAAAAGTACCAAAACATTAAATTGCCATTAAAACAAATGTTTGTTAAAGCTAAATGTATCAACGGGCTAGATGGACTAAAAGTAGCTAAAATCTAAGAGTGGAGAAAGAATAGCTAAATGACAAAATAAAAGTCGGTCAGCTAGAACAGATTTTAAAGAGAACAGTTTTTAAGGAACTGAAGAGATCTCAATGTGTTTCTATGGGGAAAATATACAAATGTACAAAAGTTACAGAATCCAAAAGTGATATTATTGATATGGAAATGAGGAGGTCTGCTTTGAATCCAAATCTGTCACCACCTCAAAGCTTCTGTCAAAGACGGCTCAAACGGTTAACCAGATGAAAATCTTCACTAAACAAAAAATAATATTTATTACATTCAAAACCAGAAAATCTTTTAAGTTTGGAAACTTTCGCAGTCTGTTGAAGGTAAATTTACAAGAAACAGGACCTTGTTTAAAAAGTTACATTTGTGTCTGCAATCAAAGCGATTTCAAATGAGCGTATGTTGAATGAAGTCTTTGTTTACAACTTTCAAAACTCCACAGATTTTATTTTGCTGTTGCAGCAAATCATTAAGCACTGGGGGGTGCCCATTAAAGCCCATTCATGCAACGCAGCAATGGAGGGCTTCTCTGTATGCGAGGTGTTTCCACTGTTATTTTAGCCCTGAACACACCCACAGTGAAACACATGTTTAGACAGAGGCTGAATCGTATTTCAGCCTCTGAGACCGTCAGCCTGAGAGCTCAGAGAATACCAGGCGCAGCATTCCACCAGTGGCGTGTCTGGCGGTGGGGGCTGGCCCTTTTGTATGGAGAGGCCACGGCAGACAAGCAGAACTATCACGCCTGGATCAGACGGTTGGGCCGTTTGTTTATGACGGAAAGATAAATAGAAGTGCTTCGGCCAAACACACCTCACTACAGCACGAGAAACAGCAGGAGAAAAATCTGAAAGACTGGAGTTGATCAAAACCTGGACAACAAAAACGATCACAAATGGAGGTCTTGTCCTCGGGAAAGCAACAATAAAACCAAAGACCCAGAACTCCTTGGAGGACTGTGTTTCAGACTGGGATCATCTAAAGGATGGAGTTGTAGCTGTTCTGGTCTTCTGACCGGCTCAACTCGGCCCTGCTTGAGTCAACTTAAACCGCTTCGCCATTGATGAGAGCAGCTCCACCCGACTCTTCTTTTCGGTTCTTCTCAGGTGGAGGTGAATTGCCACTGTTTCCCCGCTTTGTGGGCGGGATCGTAACAGGTCATTGTGTTCGAGCCACTCCGTCTTAATCGCCCTATAATCTGACTTCAGTTTCATTAGCTCTTCCTGGCTGCTTATAACTGCGGGTGTAGTCATGCTGCTCCATCAGCTCCGATATCGCTTGGCAAATGTGCTCATTTCTTTTGGCGCCGTCCGTCAACATGTTGAGGAAGTGGACGGTTCAGATTTAGGAGTTCTACAGGGCGAGTCATCCAGTGTCGAAGCTCTAATGGCCAATCAACGGCTGCTGTCCATCTACATCCAAATCTTCACCTCAAGAGCGGTTAGCTTGGAATCACGAACACGTTGGTCCCACAAACTGGGCTGACTGGTGCCAGCAGTGGGCAGGACCTTAACTACTGTGTTGCATTTGCTTTGAATAGAAAATAACGTTGCAGGAATTTCATGTGGCCGGTCTATCCAAGGCAGCCCTCAGTCATATCCAAAACCACTGGAGAGTGAGCCGCCGCAGGAGCGGGTACTACCGTACCTTGAAACCATGAACTGTCCCATGTCTAAACACAATGATAGATGTTTATAGTTTGTTAAGGCTGCGCGATATTTGGAAAACTTAGTGTGCGATGTTATTTAAAATGGTGGTGACTAAATAAATGGACTCCTTTAAACCTCTAATTGTCATCACCAGCATTTCAAATTGCTTAAATTTGTAAATTTGTGCAGTTTGAGTTCTAAATAAACAAATAATGCTTTCTTGTTTCTTTGTATGAACTTGGCCACACCACATCTAGACCTCCAGAGAAAAGTCAGTCCAGTCTTCATTGAAACTTTTTAACAGCATATCAAGTGGCACAAACACCGGACACTGCTGGTCTCCTCTCCAACAGATGGCTGATACAAACACCAAAGAGCTTAAATGCCAAGAGACAAATATTCTAACTGATGAATCAGATGACTAATAAAACATTTAAAACAATAACACACAACCTGTGTGGGTTATGTTACATGACCTAGAAATATTCCAAGTGCAGCACCAAGTCATCGGTGTAGACATCGGGCTGAAGAAGCTTCGTTTATGCTGCAACGATGCTTTGTAGGTGAACGTTACGTTTTAAAGCATGTTGACATCATGAACGTTACGTTTTAAAGCATGTTGACATCAGGACAGCTCAAAAATATAATATTCAGACTGTATGGAAAGCTGGAGCAACAATAACTCAGGTCGGTAAACCCATTTAACCACACTGTCCAAAGATTCAGGTTAAAGCTCTATCATGCAAAGAAGAAGACATATGGGTCAAAGGAAGCTCAACTAAAATGGACTGAGGCAAAGTGGAAATCTGTTCTGTGGTCGGACAAATTATTAAAGTTTCCATTCATTTTTGGAAATGACGTTTTCCATGCTAAAGATTAGAGCCCAACCAGCCTGCTATCTGCGGGGTCAAAAGCCTGCCTCTCTGATGATATAGGGGTGCCTTAGTGACCCTGGCATGGTCAGATTACACATCTGGAAAGACTCCATTGATGCAGGAAAGCACAGCTGAAACCAGAGGTTTACATACAATCTATAAAAAGACAAGCAAGAGTCACAAGTTTACATACAGTAAGATTGCTGAGCCTTTAAACAGTTTTGGAAAGCTCAAATGATGATGTCATGGCTTTGGAAGCTTTGCATTGGTTAACTGACAACATCGGAGCTAAATGGAGGCAAACCTGAGGATTTGTTTGAAGGCGCACCTCAAACACGCTGCTGCTCTGTGTGGCATCACCGAAAAGAAAAAACAAGGGTCAAGCTGTCAGGAAGAGAATCGTCAACCTGCGCAACGCCGATTCATCCGCAGGTCCAACTCCCAGAAGCATGAAGGTTCGTTAAACATAAACACCAAGAGAACGTCCCGTCAGATCGCTCTGCAAGGAGATGGCTCGGTCTTCCTGAGACGAGTCCTGACCTGGACCAACATGGACTGAAAGGACAGAGTCTCCATCCACACTGAGACGAGTCCTGGACCAACATGGACTGAAAGGACAGAGTCTCCATCCACACTGAGACGAGTCCTGGACCAACATGGACTGAAAGGACAAAGTCTTCATCCACACTGAGACAAGTCCTGGACCAACATGGACTGAAAGGACAGAGTCTTCATC